GTAGGTTGAAACTAACAGAGTTTTTGAGTTCCTAGCTGGTCTGAACTCTGAATATGACATTGTGAGACAACAGTTGTTGACAAGAGATAGTGTGACTTTATCACAAGCCTATTCCCTAGTACATAGTGAAGAAACTAGGAGAAAGGTTATGTTGCAGCAACAACCCTCCGAATCAGCCTTGGTAGCAATTAGACCTAAATCTAGGGGATAAGGAGAAGAAGGAAGCTAAGAATGACTTAGTATGTGAACACTACAAGAAACCTAAACATACTAAGGACACCTGTTGGAAGTTGCACCTCATCTAGTTCCAACAAAGCTCAGAAATAAGAAAGGGAATGCTAATATGACTGTCAACACTAATAGTACAACTTCATCAGGCACGAGAGGCACTCCTCTAGATACCCTAGCTGCAGTCTGAGCTGCTTTGACTCAGCTAGAAAATGAATTTAGTAATTCATCTCAGCCTACATCAGCTCAACAGCCTACTTCAGCCTTTGCTCATACAGGTACAAGAGCTACTGCTTGTCATGATTCTGTCCCAGGTAATACTAGACCTTCCTGGGTAATAGATTCAGGTGCTTTAGATCATATGACCAGTTAATAGAAGAAGTGTTTGGGTTAAAATGTGAAAGTTGTGAACTTGCAAAACATAGTAGATCATCTTATCCTTTAAGTAATAAAAGAAGCAACCTTCCTTTTGAGATTGTGCATACCGATGTTTGGGGGCCCTATACTCCCACCATGGGGGGGTACAGATATATTATATGTTGATGACTATACCCATTTTTCATGGGTCTATCTTTTGCACTCTCGAGATGAGGTCCCCTCTCTGACCCAAGCTTTCCATCAGATGATCCTAACTCAATTTGAAACCAAGATCAAGATTCTTAGATTTTATAATGCCAAGGAATACTTTACAAAGCCCTTGGCATCCTATCTCTTTGATCATGGGATCGTTCATTAGAGCACATGTCCTCACACACCTCAGCAAAACAGGGTTGCTGAGAGAAAAAACAAACATATTTTAGAAGTGGCCAGAAGCATCATGCTCAACTCCAATGTTCCCATACGCTTTTGGGGAGATGCAACCCGTACAGCCATATACCTCATTAACAGGGTTCCTTCACGGGTCCTAAACATGCAAACCCTGTTCAGTCTTCTATATCCAGATAAGGACCTATTCACTATTCCCCTCAAATCTTTTGGGTGTACTTGTTTTGTTCAAATCCTTGGACCTCACGGCTCCAAGTTTGATCCCAAAGCCACTAAGTGTATTTTCCTTGGATATGCACAAAATCAAAAGGGATATTACTGTTATGAGCCAGTTTCAGGGATATCTCTGCTATGAGCCAGTTTCAGGGAGAGAATAATGAGGAAGGGGTTTCAAAGAAGAAGGTTGTCAAAAAATGCAGGGAGTTGAGGGTGTATCACAGAAAATGGTGGAGGCAGGTTGATTCTCGTACTTAACAGCAACCTAGGCCAGTTCCAACATCTTCTACAGCTCCAGATCCAGACACAGCTACTGCTCCCACTGTTATAGAGGTTCAGCCTTCACCGACAGATAACCTTGATCTTCCAATTGCTATTCGTAAAGGGAAGCATCGTTGCACCTCATCCACTACGCATTGCATCTCCAAGTTCCTTTCCTATAATTGCCTCTCAAAATCCTACAAACCTTACTTGGCATCTATTTCTTCTATTCCTATACCCAGAAAAGTGCAAGAAGCTCTTTTGATGCCTGAATGGAAGGAAGCAATGCAAGTAGAGATGGATGCTCTTGTTAAGAACAACACATGAGAACTAGCTAACCAGCCTGAAGGGAAGAAACCTGTTGGATGCAGATGGGTGTTTACTATGAAATATAATGCTGATGGTACTGTAGAGAGGTATAAGGTCAGATTGGTTGCAAAGGGATTCACACAAACTTATGGCATAGACTATACAGAAACCTTTGCACCTATTGCAAAAATGAACACTATCAGAGTTCTTCTATCCATTGCTGCAAATTTCTCATGGCCACTATTTTAGCTGGATGTTAAGAATGCCTTCCTCAACGGAAACTTGCAAGAGGAAGTATACATGGAGTTACCCCCTGGTTTTTATAGTACAGAAGCAGGAAAGAAAGTTTGCCTTTTGAAGAAGGCCTTGTACGGGCTGAAACAATCCCCGAGAGTGAAACCTGCTGATACTCCCATTGAGCCTAACCATAAGATAAGTGAAAAAAGTGGAGAACTCTTTAAGGACAGGGCTATGTACCAAAGGCTGGTTGGGAAACTTCTTTATCTCTGTTTAACCCAACCAAATATTTCTTATGCCATCAGTGTTGTCAATCAATACATGCATTCTCCTAGGACCACCCATCTCCTTGTAGTAGAAAGGATCCTTGCCTATTTAAAGAGATGTCCAGGGAGAGGTATACTCTTTAAGAATAA